GTAGGTCTGTGGGTTTATTTCTGGATCTTCTATTTGATTCTGTTGATCCTCCAGTATGTTTCTATGTCAGTACCATGCAGTTTTTATTCTGGTTTTTGTTTTGTTTTGTTTTTCCATATAAAATTGAGAATTGTTTTTTCAAGATCTGTAAAGAATTGTGTTAGTTTTATGCTGTGAATTGCATTGAATCTGTATTGCTTTTGGCAGGATGGCCGATTCATGAGCATGGAAGATCTTTTCATCTTCTGATATCTTCTTCAATTTCTTTCTTCAGAGACTTGAAGTTTTTTACAAACAGGTCTTTCACTTGCTTGGTTAGAGTCACACCAAGGTACTTTCTGTTATTAGTGGCTATTGTGAAGTATGTAGTTTCCCTGATTTCTTTTTCAGCCCTTTTGTCTTTCATATACAGGAGGGCTACTGATATTTTTTTAATTAATTTTGTATCCAGCCACTTTGCTGAAGGTGTTTATCAGCTGAAGGAGTTCTCTGGTTGAAGTCTGGGGGTGACTCATGCATATTATCATATCATCTGCAAATAGTGATACTTTGACTTCTTCCTTTCTGATTTGTATCCCCTTGATCTCCTTTAGTTGTCTAGCTAGGACTTCAAGTACTATGTTGAAGAGACATGGAGAGAGTGGGCAGCCTGCATTGTCCCTGATAAAGATGTTTGTTTTTTTTTTTTAAACATTCATAACCTCTTTACTCAAGAAGAATAAGAACCATACATTGGAATTTTTCTTTCTACTATTTCCTTGCATAGCAAACAGCAATATTTGCATCTTCTAATGTCTATTAAGATTCAGGAAGTATATTTTTAAAATATTTAGAAATAAATTAAAATCCTTTATTGTTTTAACGATAACACATATGTTGATACCTAGGGGAGAAAAGGTATATTTTACATGTCATTTCATAATATATTCTCAACAGAGAACCAATAATTTCTTGAATATTAAATTTGAGGGATGCCTCATAATGATAAAGGTTTTTTATTGATAAATAGAAAGATCATCTGTGTTTCTGTAGACAGATTAATGGTAATGATTGAATAAACTTTTGTTTCTAATATATTCAATTTAAGGAAATATATAAAAATTACAAAAGGAACTTCCAGGGATCTATTAAAAATCATTAAAAAAAAAAAAAAAAAGTAACTAGGTGGCCAATTCTGTTCCACAAGATAAAATTGCTCCAGGCAAGCTGCAGACTTTTATCTGCAAGAGCAAATGCAGAGTGAAACTGTCAGTCACAGCAGCACAGTGAAGAGAATTTCTGTATGCAAATGGCTTCCTTACACAGTGGCTTCCTTACACAATGGCTTCAGATATGATAGAGGCTTACTTCTTGCTAGGATGATGCATTACTTCAGCTTGAAGCTAAGGATACATTTATGTGCCTTAAAAAGAGGGGTGACTTTACTCACAAAGGTTATCTTCAGTGAGAGTAAACAAATTAATTTTAAATAGCTGTGGCCTGAGGGCCAAATTCTATTTCAAGTAATTGGGGGGAGGGGAAGTTGAATGTCCTAGTTCCCTGGCTTGACATTCTCTCTTTTTAAGAATTTCAATGTAGATTCATTGACCATTTTTTTATTTTAATGTAAAGCAAACAACCGTAAATTCTTTGTATTAACATAGGAAAAGGTTAAAGCAGTTGGAAATCATGTCCTGTCCTCACCAAAGGTGAGAATGACCTTAACATTGGTATCCCTCTATTTATAAAAATGGAGATCAATACTTCATGAACTGAAGTGAGAAAAATGATTGAAGAGACCAGACTAATAGAGCACACTGTGGATGCCTGTTAATTCCACTGTGCAAGAATAAGACCACTACCATAATTTTGAGGCAAATTTGAAGCAAGCTTTAATTAAATCCTGACCAAGGTGATAGACTGTGACAATTTGTCACATTTTGCTGAGGCTTATAAAGGTAAACTCATAAAGCTACATGTTTCCTACCAGGTCCAACTGGGGAAAGTATACATCCTGACATATTTCCTGTGGATGCATTTCCTACCTACCTACCTCCTACCTACATCTGATAAAGCACATCAGGGAAGCAAACACATGTGGCTTGTTATGTTCCACAAACAATAGCTTCCAGCACCACAGGAAGTATCTGCCTTGGGGCTAGGTTCTTACAGGTTAGAGGCATTTTTGTTCTAAGGATCTTTTAGCCATAGTAATTAAAACTTAAAACAACTTTGGCTCTGGCATGATCTAAAGAAAAATTTAAATGTCTGCTATGTTGACTTTTAAACAAATCACTCTGCACATGTTTTACCTACTTATCAGTAACTTTCATGCCTTCATTGTTAACGTATGTCTACACCCATTCGCTGTCTGGTACTCCTTTTGACAACTATGGCTATGTTTCCTCTTTTCTATGGGAATATGAATCCAAAGAGATGGGTTGTCTTTCCTACGCACCTGGACTCAAACCCAGACTCCTCTTTGTTAGTCTTGTGTTCTATGCACTATCTTAAAGATACCTGCTTCTCCTCTGTATTCAGGAACAACCACATGAGTTACACTGTGCTTTGTTTACTGATGATTAAAGATTCCACTGTACACAAAAGGAAATAATTACTAGAGCTTGAACAGATGTAACCTCCGATTCTTTTCTACCACTCCCTTTTATGAAACATAGTGGTCAAGCTATGATTAGTATTCTGAACATGAGGTGATGGTAAACTATGCTTTTTTATTACCATGAGATGGCAAAATTACCCACTCTCAAAGGACCAGCTGCTCCAGGGCGGCTGGCATCCCCAGTGCATGCCTACATTCACGAAACTATTTTAACTGGTGGCTTTCTGGATTTTTGTTGTTGTTGTTAGAGAGGAAACATATGTGTAAACCTGTTAAAGCCATTCCATCTGTTCTGATGAAATAGCATCACTGTATATATTAGTGAAATCTTGCATTTCAGGATTTGAAGGCTGCTACATGTCTCATAAAGCAAGGGTTGTCATAACAGCTTCTTAAACAGACATATAAAGAATTATGAGAAAATACACTTAAATCCCTCTCCATGCTTTTATGTAGTATATGCAAATATGTCCATGATAGACTTATATTTTGAATTGGTAGACATAATATATATGAATTGGTGTGCCACATTAGATGTATTTTTTCTAATATGAAGGTTTGAGGGATCCAGATATATCTTGGTACTAGAGTACTTCCTAAGAATATCTGAAGGCCTAGGCTTATCCACACAGTACAGCAAAAATAAATAAATACAAATAGAAAGATGGTAGGTAGATAGGTAGGTAGAAGATTGAGGGTGATGATCATGATGGTGATGATGAAGATAGATGATAGATTGATAGGTGGTAGAAAAAGAATAGATAGATACATAGGTACATAGATAGATGATAGATAGATAGATAGATAGATAGATAGATAGATAGAATAGATAGACTTGAGAACAAATCCAATCTCTGCCCAAACTGCCAATATCTCCAATAAAATGGTACTTATATCATTACTAATTTCCACAATGGACATGAATCTTATCCCATAAAGCTATTTTTTAAAATCAATTGTTAGAAATATTATACATTAATACATACTGCATTGTCAACACATTTATTAGGAGTTTATTATATTCTTCCATCTATGGAAAGTCTTATGTATATACTGTCTAGTTTATTCTTCCCTAAAACCTCCATAGTAGATATTACTATTATTAAAGGATGTAGAGGCTAAGAATTTCAGAAAATTACCCATATTCATAAACTTAGAAGATGGAATTCCAACAATTGAATTTGAGTTTTTTTTTTTTTCATATTCAACAAATACCTGCTAATTAATATATCTCTCGGACAAAATTGGACATTGAAAGAAGAAATTAGAGAATAGAAGTTGGGTAAGGTACATTCACTTCTCCCTGGCCACTCTGGGAGAAGGGATTCAAAGATAACAAAGAGGCCACAAGAATATTGGGCAGGAGGTTTTGAAAGTCATCTAGAGAAGAGGTGATGTTGACATCAATCAGGAGGTAGCAGAGAAGATGAAAAACAAAAACAAAAACACCTCAGTAGCCACTCAATGTGTTCTGCAGCTTTATTTGAATGTATAGTGATGGAGGTCAGGCAAGAGCAGTCACTCTCATGTTTGACTTGAGACAAGATAACCTGCTATGGGGGATATTAAAATGAATAGGCAGAGTGAAGAAATCGTTCTAGCCTGAAACCCATGCTCCGAGCCATGATTCATGTAATCACTAACAATTATCATAAAAATAAACTAACTGCAAATGAAGTCAAATTATTCCTTCCTGTGTGAAGATATAAACAATTAATGTGTTGCATAATCCTTCGTTTTTAAAGTAAATGTCCTAGACAGGCTTATCTGAGGATCTTGTAAAGCTTCATTGAGTCCAAGCTTCAATATTTATAATATTGTGAGATGAATTCCAGGCAAAAGATATTTAAAGATAATTTGCCAACGAGCTAAACACGTTGAGGTGACTGTTTTACATGATTTTTCTTCTTCCTACATAGTTATATTTTTCAGAGTGTCTACAATTATTGCATAACACTTTCATACCTACTTTCTGAATTTTGCAAAGTTAAGTGATAAAATTACATCTGTTGTGTCTATATAGTCTACCATAGTAAGTACTGAGAAGCCTTTAAATACTGACTTTCAGTCCAACCAGCTAAGACAGAAAAAATAATGTTGTCATTGACAGCTATCTTAAAGGTCCTTCTAACTCTGACAATGTGCTACTTAGTCCTAGTCACACTACCGTAGTAGGAACTACGATGGAAACTGGCTAGCCTCGTGATAAGTGTGTGGAACGCTGGCAGTCAAGGAATGTGAGCTTGACTTGCTTTCTTGTATTGTAAGTAAGTACGCTTCCAAATGTGAACATTTTCAAGTTTCTCACACTCTTGTCCCCGTGTTAGTGTAAGTAGTTGTAAAGAATTCTTCACTCCCAGCTCCTAGCTACTGCTAAACCTTGCCTCTTTCTCCCTTACAGGGTCAATGACTGTATCTTGCGGGTGAACGAGGTTGATGTGTCAGAAGTTTCCCACAGTAAAGCGGTGGAAGCTCTCAAAGAAGCAGGGTCTATTGTGAGGCTCTACGTGCGGAGAAGACGACCCATTTTGGAGACTGTCGTGGAAATCAAGCTGTTCAAAGGGCCGAAAGGTAATGAAAGCACAAACAACTCATACTGAGGCAAGAATTATCAAAACCGTTTGTCTAAAATGTACTCCAAAGCCTACCTAAAAGGGCTAGTTCCCTAGTTTCCCTAGTTCCCTGATAGGGGAGGTCCTCCTCCCCTTCCTTCTGACCCTAGCTTATCAGGTCTCATCAAGGCTGGCTGCATCATCTTCCTCTGTGGCCTGGCAAGACTACACCCTCCCAGGGGGAGGTGATCAAATAGCTAGCCACTGAGGTCATGTCAGAGACAGCCCCTGTGTCCCTTACTGGGCAACCCACTTGGAAACTGAGCAGCCTATGGGCTTCCTTTGAACAGGTGGTCTAGGTCCTCTCCATGCATGGTCCTTGGTTGAAGTACTGGTCTCTGCAGGCCCCACTGGGCCAAGGTATTTTGGCTCTGTTGTTCTCCTTGTGAAGTTTCTGACCCAGGTCTTTATATCTCCTTCTTCTTCCATAAGAATTCTGGCACTCTGCCCAAATTTGGCTATAAGTCTCAGTAACTCCTTCCATACCCTGGTGAGTATAGAGTCTTTCAGAAGTGCTCTGTGGAATGTTCCTGTCCTGTTCCTAGACAAGGTTTTTTTTTTTGTGTGTGTAATCTTGGCTGCCCTGAAACTAACTCTATAAACCAGGCTGGCTCCTAACTCACAGAGATCCTCCTGCATCTGCCTTCCAAGTGCCAGGATTAAAGGCATATGCCACTACCACCTAGCATCACAATTAAATATTTTAGATTATAACTGGGTAATCATTAGACTGATATTATTTTTTGTTTAAAATCTATTTAATGTCTAATTCTAACTATGTCACTGAAAAAGAAGCATTTAACCTTTTCTGGCAGACAATATTAAGTGGCATTTGCCATCTTTGACACACAAACCAGACAAACTCATTAGAAAACTAGTTCAGCCATTTACCAGGGGAATTACCTTCATTAAATACATGTACTTGATGAGACCAAATATTTTTTAAAGAATTTGAACATAGTAGGAAGAAGCATAAACTCAGAACATGTAGGTTGAACTCCATCTCTGCCCTTGACTAGCTGGGAAGCTTTGGATAAAAATGTTTCATTTTCTTGGCCTTGATCTTTTCATCTATGGAATACAATTAAAAACAAGGTTTGTTCTTGGAGCTATTACTATGATTCATTAAGATAGTTCATATATTTGGAATAAATCCTGGTACAAACTGACCACTCAGAAAAATATTAGCTAGGCATGCAAGTTATTTCAAATATATTTTTCTTTTACAAAATATGGTAATGGGTTTTTTAGCAATGTAATGAAAATACTTAGAAGTCCTTCATGAATTAAGCACAGGTGCATTAGAATTCAAGTGTGAATGATGGTCTACCCTATCCATTTACTAAAATCACACCGGCAGTTTGCTTTTGAAAGCCAAATGAATGGAACATAGATTTTTCTCTATTAAAAATATATGTTCTATATAAATAATATGAGTCTATTTATACAACTCAGCTACAGCAGTTATTCATCATTTCCCTAAGCAAAGGCTAATTTAAGCCCTCAGGAAAACATTGCCATTCTTTTGCTGGCTTCCTGCTCTCAGTCACTGGATGACCTCCAGCTGCTCAGCAAAACACTTACAGGCTGTAGGGAGCTGATGACCCAAACTCCTTAATTTTATCGGGAACACATTTGTTGGATCTTTATTTTGACATTATGCCTCCTCCAGCTCTTTTACTTCACGCTGGATTATTCTTTTCTCCGTGCCTGTTGTAGGGAGAGAATCTTTTGTTACAAGGAGGAAGAGAATAAAAAGTGAGAGCTAATTAACCCTGTATGCAGGCAATAACCCCAAGGACACACACAGTGTATGGAGATGATCTCCTGAGCCAAGGAAATCCTAGGGGCAGTGTTCCTTCCAGAACGCTGACTCTGTAGAGCCTATGGAGAAATGTGCTGAGTCAGTCATATTTTTTGGTACAGGGTTATTCCCTATAGGGCTGATTTGTTTCTCTGTACCAGTGGTTGTCGTCCTGTGGGTCACAACCCCCACGGGTGTCACACATTATGTATTGACTCATAATAGTAGCAAAATTATAGTTCTTAAGTGGCAATGAAATAATTTTAGGGCTGTGGTCAAAGGGAGGACCTGTATTAAAGTGTGACAGCAGTAAGAAGGTTGAGAACCACCTTATAGGGCTATACAAAGCCTACTGAGCTGCAAGGAAAGAAAGTGTTCCAATCACTGTTTGAATTCCAGATTCTTCTCCCAGTGCCTCAATCTCATGAAATGTAGAATTAGAATAACATATTATTAGAGTCTATACTAAATCTGAAAAGATACTGCTTTCTCTACTTTAGTATGTTTATAATTCTTGGTTTTTAAACTACAGTATCCCTGGGGGGGGGGGTAGGGAGGAGATTCCACCATGATAAACTTGTATCATGGAAACTCTAAGGCAATATGAAGTCTCCTTCCTTCAAAATGTTCTAATAAAAAGAGATGACCCTAAAGTCAACCTGTTTAACATCTGCAAGGCAAAATGATTTTAGACTGAAGCTTGAGCCATGATTTCAATGGTGGTGGAGTGGCTGTGTGATTTATCTTAGCCAGATGAGTCAAGATACTGTGGAGAACTGGAAACACTCCCCATGCACAAAGGTCCCTATCTGGTCCTCTTTGACCATTTAGTTGTCCAATGGTAAACATTAGCACTCTAGCCAGTTAGATGTATTCAACTATGAATGTTAAGTGTATTTAACCTATGGCTGTCTTGCTATACAGTAACCTGGTTCTTCAATGTTTCTTCAACAAATACTTATTAAATATTTGCTGTGTACATGACACAGCTGGACAGGGATTCACAAAGACAAGAGGTGATGTTTGCTCCCAAGGAAATTATAGTCAGATAAGGAAAACATCTATGATATAAACCTGGAAAAGTAAGAAGGAATGTAAGATATTGAGGGAAAGCAGATTAGGTACTATGCCAAAGGAAACAGAGGCTACCCAAACTAACTACTGAATTATAAATTAAAATAGCCATGGAGCTGGAGAGGAGAGCATTGCAGGGACAGATAAAATCACGGCGTCCCAAGCATAGGCCAGGTCTTCATGTTGCCTAGTGGTCAAGGAGTGAAACAATGAGTCTGTCCAGCTGAGGTAGGTAGGGGCCAGTTAGTGCTTTGCTGTCTTAGTATTATTATCCAGTACAGCTGATTGGTTGGAACACTAAGGCTTGCCATTGGACATCTGTGCAGTCAAATAGAACCAGACGGGAAACGCACATGTTGATACCGCCTCATTGATAAACCATGTGTGGGTCATTCTGCACGTGAGGCCCAGTTTTCTAAATGCGATGATGCCTGTCAAATGAGGTGGGCTATAGAAAAAGTTCTGTAGAAATGTGATTAGGAATTTGAGAATGTCTTGGAAGCCTATTCTGTATTTCCAATGAAAAGTAAAAATGCCTTTCTCAGCATGAAAAATCCCCCTTATCGTGCTGAATTTCTAACAATTCAGTAATTGAAGGCATCTGGGGTCTATGTATTGTCAGTTGAGAAAAAAAATAATATAGAATATATTGATTTCTACTATGTAGAAAGTAGTGATTAAGGAAATCTACTTTCTGCTTTCTAAGAAATCAAAAATTAAAAAAAGAAAATCTGAATGTGTAGGGGGATGTTTCAAGGAACCCCCTAGAGGGCTTTTATGACAAAAGAGGTTTAGTGGCTTTCCTAAAAAGCTCCTAGAATTCCTCTTAGTCTAAAGCAACCAAAGAAGTCTGTCATTAAACACTCATCAAGATCACTGGTCCTTGTGGCCGAATCTAAACAAACTAAGCTCTGTGAGAAGTTAGGTGGCACAGTCCTGTTATGCTGGATTAAATATGACCATCGTCACGCATGTGAATAGTATACATACATGGCACATCCCCCGTACTCTGCTACCCTACCCTTCTTTGCTCCTTCACTTCCTCTCACGTTTGTCCCCTTTGCTCTTCTAGGCAGTTTTGTTTCTATTTTCATATCTATATATGATTTTCTGTGTCTGCATAAAGCCTGAGACTGGAAAAAAATGAAAGAAGCTGTAATATTTGTCTTTCAGAAACTGATTTAATTCACTTAATATAGTTATTTCCAGTTCTACCCATATTTGTGCAAATAACATAACCTTGGTCATATGTGTATATGTATGTATGATATGTATTTATATATAATTTCCTTTACCCATGTCTATTTTGGTAAGTACCTAGTTGATTCCCTACCGCGTTCCTATGAACAATGCTTCACTGAACACTAATGTATATGCAAGTATCTCTGATGTGGTTACTTGAAATCCTTTGACTAAATATCTAGGAATATTGGAGCTGGGTCACATGATAGGTCCATTTTTAGTTTTTTTAGAAACCTAATGGTTTTTGTTAATTACTCCTGTGGGAAAAAAAATTTCTTAAGGCTTAATCAGAAAATTTAACATGTCAAAGTTGAAATATTATTGCTATCTAAATTTGGATTTGCTTATGGGTTTGTTTTAGGCAAATAATTGCAAAAAAAAAAAAAAGCGAACGTAAGTTCAACTGTCTCCTAACAAACTTCAGCATTTTTGCACCATTTATCTCTCAGTGTGTGTGTGCATGTTGTGTGTATGTGTTCAGTTCCCGTGCACATCTGTCATGTGCTCATGGAGACTGGAGGCGAATACAAGTGTCCTCCTCATGTACTCTCTGCTTTGCACTTTGAGAGAGCGTCTCAGTGAACACAGAGAGAACCAGTTTGATGGTGCCTGGCAAATGAAGCTGAAGGATCCTCCTGTCCGTAACTCCCACTTTCCCTGCTGGGGCTACAGCTGCAGACGCACCATCTGTAACATCTCTGCGCATGGATGTTAGGGATCCGAACGCAGGTCATCATGTCTACACCATTCGTACCTTACTGACTAAGCCATATCCCCACTCCTATGAATGATCTTAAATACAATCCATTTTAGTTTCTTTACAAATGCCGTATTTTTGC